GAAATTATAAGCTTGTAAAACGTTATTGCTACTACATCCCATACACCATTTAAAAGATCTAATCCTACTGTTGATAAATATGAAGTTTATTTTTATAATATTATTCAAATAATACAACTACAACTTAATTAAATTTATATTTGAATGAAAATGCAAGCTTACATTTGTAACGTCCAGATAAACCACGAAAGGAGCAAAAACTATGGCGATTTTTTCCATTTGTGACATGTCATAAATTGCCCGTGCCTTTTTCTTTTATATTTTCATTTTTACGTAATCAGAAAATTATTACAAAAAGATTTCTTAAACAATATGTATGGTCAGCCTATTTCCCCGATATCTGCGGCTTTCCGCCGGTAAAATGACATAACAACTGAAAATACCTCCGTTTTCAAAGCTTCATTATGAATAACATGCGCGCGCAAATCGTTTGATGTCGGGCATCGTTCGAAAGCTCTGAACATCAACAATATCACTGTACCCTTGCCAAGAGTATTTTCACAGTTGTAAGAAGCGATTTTATTGGATAAAGATTGGTTTCTAATGACGCTTTTCGCCACAGTCTGCTATAAGGGTTGTGATTGGTCAAAATCAGACACGCGTGACCTAAGGCAGCCAATCATATTACGGCAATGGATACCGTCCTCGTAAAGCGAAATCTTTTAGATTTGGACAAAAGTTTTGGGTAAAATAATGCTATTCTGAACATATTAAGCAAGAAATCGCTACCAATACGTAAATTATGGAACTTATTGGACGATCGTGCTAGGTTATGACCTGTGACAAAAATGCTTCATGTATGTATTTTCGCATTAAACATCGTGGTCCGAAAGCGTGAAGATTGAGGCGGCGAGACTCGAGATGTCACTTGTCAGTGACTTGACTTGCATTACATGATCGCACAAAAGATGGAAATAGTAATTTTATATGCACGTTTGACAACTTTTATGAATGCTGTTGTTGATTTTATTCATTAGTTTATTCAATTTATTTAATAATTTCCTCGAAACATCGTTACTTTGCTCTTTGACAATGTTATTGTGGACCCGCTGCCGAAGCATGTGTCCGAGAATCGTTGTTTTCAATAATATTGCGAAAAATAGTTTATAATTTTAATTCTGCTGATAATATATGATAAATTGAAATTTAATAAGTGTTTTCAGACATTGTGAAATGTGATAGATTTGATATATGAATCATAAGTCAGGTAGGTTCCTAAAATTATGTCTCATTTTGACGTGACTACTGCCTGGCCGATTAATCGGCCTCCGGTGTCTGGGGACTCATAACGTTGTGGCCGATTATTCGGCCTGCGGTGTTGAATGGGTTAATGGGGTACCCATACAATTTCTTCTAGTTGTTCAACAGTTTTGGGTGTACAAAATTCTAAATGACCACTAAAGACCAGATTTTGGAATAATGCCACGGATACTTACCAATACATGGTAAACATCTGCCAGAATGTCAATAAGCCCAATTCTCGAATAATGCTAAGGATGTGGAATAATGCTAAGGGTATATAATCTTGTTTGAAGACAATTCATATTCTGGTACAGCATGTCCAGAGAATCTGAGGTCCTCCACCACCCTGTATTACCAAAGTATAAGTGACAGTCGAGGGTGTGACCAATCAGTTATAAAGTCAAAGCATGCTGTTATATGAACTGTGGGATATAGCTTCAAAAAGCTTCAAGCCAAGCTTTAAACATCATCCCAAAATTTCCTTGGTTGTCAAGGAGTAAGCAGATGTCTTACTAGACGAAATCTTAATCTCAAAGTAAGCGTTGTGACTTGACATGTGGACAACAGATGATCAACCACATGCTACTGGACAAAACATTATGTAACCACACCAATCACTTAGAAGGCAGAAATACAATCTAAACTTAACATATTTTTGCATTTGATTCTGGATGCACAACTGAACAAAGATGGTTTGTCCTAGAAGTTTGCTGAGATTTTGCTGCAAGAACTGCAACTGCCACTGCAACATCATCTATTATGGTAAAACAGCTTTTACCCTAGATAATTTACAAGATCATTATTTAAGTTTCAAACACATTAAGATTGAATGCTCATTCTACCATGAATCAAGAAAATACTAGATTCTGATTGGTTGTTCAGAAAAATCAGACGGCATCAATTGTGGATTGACGCTCATCTGATTGTAAGGCCGCTTCACCGCGCATTAACGAATCTTATTGTGAGAACTACTTCAGTTTGACCATAATGATGGCGGATCATAACAACAACTCCATGGATTTTGACGCTGACTTTCGAATTTTCCACATAGGCAATTGGAAACCTTTGGATTAAAAATGCGTTTGATTTCATTGCGCTTCATTTCGCACGCATAGAACACTGCTGCACTACTTCAGCTTGACCACCAACATGACTAATATCAACACAACAGACGTGATGGAAATGCTGATAAAACATTTATTTAAACTCGAAAAATACAAATATATGATTTCCCCCACACAATTATGAGGGAACCTCACTATCATATTACCTTCTATTATAAAAATATTCAAACTCAATTACAATACACAGCCCCAAACATAAACAAAACAATATGTAACATATAAATCAGAAAGCCTTGTAAAAATACATCCCTATCTATGCAAAATATGCAGCAAAACATTAGTAAACATTTACCTACCTGGTAAATGGTATATTTAATTCCGTTTAGAATGGGAAATTTGCAAGATAGATCTAACGGTCTGGCGAAACACCACATTTATGCCACTCATAGTCATACTCCATCATATCCCGTTGGCGTTGCATCGTTCACAAAATAATTCTGCTCTCTGCCAGCTTCCCTGCAAGGTTGTCACTGTTATGTTCATCTACTTTGGAAATCGCTTGGACACAGTCCAGTCCCAAACGACGAAAACAAAGGTTCAAGGAATCACAAGTTAGTCGCATGTACACTAAGCCGTCACTCTGTTGTCGCATGCCGGGGTGGAGGCAGTACGTGAAATCATGATCGGCCGGTCATAAAAATCAACAGTCTTTGATGAGTTACAGGTCGTAGGTTGATCAGGAAAGGATCTATTCTTCGATTCTGCAGGGTTCAGATTCGACAGTCAGTCAAGTATTGTCCACTGTCACTTCAAATTTCAACCTTTCGCAAAATGTAAACACTGGCTCGTCCGCCATTTCAAACTGTTGCGTAACTGTCTACTTCGAAGAAAATAAGTAGGTCAGACGATTCCATTATAGTGTGGCCAGGGGGCTACAGTTTCACGGCACACAAAACAATAGGCTGATTTTAGTCATGTGGAGATGGGATGAAAAAAACACAAGATCTTGGGTATTACATAACTGCATTGAATAAACAGTAGTTTGATTTCTTTGGACAGAATATTGTTATGTTGTAATGTTAAAAAATACTTAACGGCACCTACCGCCCCTTCACAGACGAGTTCAATTAGCCTCGGCCTCGTCCCATGCCGGATACGCGAGTGTCTTCCGCAGAGCGAGGAAGTTCGATTTTAAATGGGTCATGGTAGAATGGAGATAACCCTAGTGTGTTTGAAAATCAGAGACATGTTTTACTGAATTGATGGCGACTAAATATTTCAATTGAAACCTCACGCTACGCGTTCGGTTCCAATTGAAATTTAGTCGCCATCAATTCAGTAAAACATGTCTCTGATTTTCAAACACACTAGGGTTATCTCCTAAATTGTACTTGATAATATAGCATTTCTATCTAGGGGTTGGGTGGTAAAGTACCTAAGCCTAAGTTGACCTTTGTAAGCACTTACATGACTGGTTACTAGCAAGTACAAAGGAGAAGATAAGAAAAATATTCCTGCTATGATACATTGCACAATTCAAAAACTGCTGTCAGAAACTAAACATGGCATGTAAGATTGACCAACCATCTTCTTATAAGATTGATCAAGCTCTGAAATGATGGTTATGGGGCAAGGTGGGCGGGCTGTCTAGGCGCCACGCTAGTAAGCGAAATATGACTGGATCAATCCCCACCTGTGACAGGGTGTAAAAAACTTGGAGCTAACATTACTTGCAGGCTCTTTCAATGTCTTCACAACCCCTAGTGTGCAGTACACAACCCTGTGCACTTAAAAGAACCCACTCGTCCAATGGTATGTGACCAGATAGTGGACACAGATAGTGGACACACGAACACGTGCAAACATCTAGTGGCGGGTAAAGTAACATGCAGTATCATTGGACAAAATACTGTGACTATGTGTCCCAGTTCACCAGGTTGAGTTAGTTAAAAGAATGCCAGAAAAAAGACATCCGTTGATCAAGGGGACACTCCAGCATCTTGAGCATGTACTAGTTGCGTGGCAGTGTTTACGAATGGTGTTTTAAGGTAACAGGACATTGGGTCCTGCAAGTTTCAGATGTCTGTCTGACCAATTGAAAATTCACAGGACCCATTTCGGATTTAACATTTCTTATAATTGGCTTTGAAATTATTAACAAACACAAGATATATAAACAGCAAACAAGTATCACATGTCACATATGACAACTTAAGTCAAAGTCATTGTGAAATATACAGTCAGACAATGGGGCTGGTGGGTTGTAGACTTCTATCGGACTGTTGGTGAATCTGCCGGATTTGTCAGAGGGTCAGATGCTATTCGTGAACACTGGCGTGGATATGTGCGCTATATAAATATGCTATAATAACATATCAACACGACTATGAAGACCTGGTCCTGGACAGAGTGATGAAACGTAATTTTTCTGTTAGATGGAAAAATTGATAAAAACATAAGACCTACATGGGATCCACTTCAGGGCCAGGACAGTGTCCAGTATGGGTCGGCACCGTCTTCCTGATCCAGTACAAGGGCCATTCTTTACACAAACTAATAGTACTGCTGTTGTGTAAACCCAAGTAAATGCTAACTTCAGCTAGCAGATCTAACAAGGCTTTTTAAACCATTGTAGTCTTTCAGTAAGGAACCTTCCAGTTATTAAGAGTCCTCATTTAGATTTAAAGTACTTACAGTAATCCCTGATCTGATACATCTGCTTCCGATTCCCCATAATCTTCATAGTTGTCTTCATCAGTCACTTCCTGGCGGCTGTCAAAAAATCACAAACACATTCAAGCAATTCTTTTTGTTTTAGAAATCATTCCTTAAGTAACTTAGACTACAAATATTCTAATTTAACTGTTTCTAAACTGTTTCCAAGTTGTTAGATATTATGATATCTAACAGTAATATGTGCCATCCATGTTCTGTAATATTTCCATAGGTCCATAAAGCACTGATTTCTGGAGGGACATATATAGCTGCCTCCTCTACACAGGGAACTCCTTCAATTCCGTTTCACACAATGTACTATGTACATAACAAAAGTCAAACATACAAACATGTAATGTTTTTAGTAAAATTGATATTTTTATACTTATCCTGACTCATGATCTTTTGCTTATCTCCCTTTCCCTTGCGAATGGTAGTGGAACACTTGAATCCCTTGAAGTTCCCGAGGCGGACGTAAAAATACACTCACCCACGAGTTGCCTCCCTTTCGCCCTTTTCCCGCGCAAACAGTTATGTGACCTGCCTTACTTGTCACTCTCTCCTGAATTTCTGCCCATGCACTTGGATCTGCTGTGAAATCTTAAGTGTCTTCAATGGGGAGGTTGGGAGGGCTTCTCGTCATGAGTCAGGATAAGTATAAAAATATCAATTTTACTTTAAAAATTACATATTTTTACTTATCCTGACTCATGATCTTTTGCTTATAGAATCCGATGGATTGGTGGTGGGTCAAGCCACTTCGTGGATTCATCAGCTGTCCTTAGATACGTCCTCTATCCCCCCCATTGGAACTGCGAAACAGCATTTCCGTGATCCTATTCTTCCAACTTCCGCTATAACTCGGGGGGACCACTTTCTTGTCCTACTTCAGTCTCAGACAAGTTGAATCATGTTGATTCATGTGGCTACAGATAAACTAGTATCTTCCTATTACTAAGTTCAAGTTCAGTTTATTCTCAAATAACCACGTTTGGTGGTACAAGAGAAAATCAAACTTAATCCATTTAAATACATATAAATAAACATGACAAAATGACAGGTAGAACAGTTTAAAATGAAACATAATAATGCCATAAATTAAGATCTGTTAAGTGATTTGTTGTCTATAGAAAGAGCTGATTGAGGTTTAACCATTTTTGACAAAGAGTTTATCTAATACTAGCAGATATTTGGATAGATTTCTTATTTCTTTTGAATTTTCTACTATTAAATATTTTCTTCAATGTTGATAAATTGGGGAAGTACATTTGTCTAGTTGGTAAATATTTCAATCTAATATCTGTAAGGGCTTCACATTTAAATAAGTAATGAATGAAATTAAGCCTATTTCTGATGAATTGCAAAGTTTACATGTTCTGTTTTTCTAGCGATACCATGCTTAAGCCACCAGTTTCTACCGGAGATTGTGATTACAGGTTCTGTATTTCAAAATAGGATAGTAAATATAAGCTGGAAAGAGAAGATAGTTTTCAAATATGGGAGTATCTATAATATGTTTATAGTAAAATCCCTTAGAGCTATTTTCAATATTAGCTTTCCAACTTTGTTGGACCTGGTCTTTTAATACAGTCTCCACTTGTGAAACTAGCCATTGGCATGGTACGCTTACAGGGTTATAGAATACAAAAGATAAGCCACATTATCTAATAAAGATTTAACATGATGCATCCAGGGATCAAAATCATTCTCAAAGATACTTTGTGCATATGCATAATTGTTGATCAGTTTTGATAATTTCTGCTGCATTCCAGGATTATTAAGTTTATGCCAGTAACAAATAATACTAGATATCTCATAACAACCCATAGATTATGATAAGATCTTTAGCATAAATGAGTTGCGATCCCTTCACTTACAGGTAAGATCTTTACCCGTACAGGATCTTTAATCACTCATGCTAGCCTGTGCTAGACTGTGCGCATGGACTTTCAAACTAGTACTTTTCTTTAGTAAAAGTTATCAACAAGTCAACGTGATAAAGGGTGAGATTTTACAACTCCGCGCCTTTGAGGAACCGTTAGTTGCTGTGCTACAACGAGAGGCCCAAATTGGTGAATGCCTGAGACGTCTTCAATGGCTATGTTTCGGAGGTAGTGGTTGGCAAACACTGTGTCTTCCAAAAGCAGCCCTCCATAATTGTTGGTATAGAGCAATTTCCGTGCAGAGTCAGTGTAGACGCCAATGCTCTGACTTCGTGTGGGTTGGAAGCTCTAGGAGGTTCTAGTCCTGCTGCTTTATAGGCTCTCAATATGACGGCTCTCATCCAGAACGATATGGTCGTTCTTGAGACCTCTGCTGATGTCTCTGTTGATAATGGGATGAACAGGCGCTTGAATTTTTGTCTCCTTGTCTCAAGTCTTTTGAAGCATTATCGTCAGGGCTCTGACCGGACACAAGGATAAGTCCTCTATACCCTGGGGACCGAGGATTGTAGAGAGCACTGGTACGTGGAACTGTCTATCTGGTTGACCAGGTAGTTGGTTCTTGGCAATGAAGTCCCATCTAAGTCCTAGATGAACTGCAGCATGTTGCCCCCTGTCGAATCTGGTTCGACCAAAGATCAGAGCATGTATCTCTGATATTCGAGCTGCCATGGCTAGCGCAAGCAGGAACAGAGTCTTCTGTGTCAGCAGCTCGAGAGTAGTCTGGTCTAGTGGTTCGTAGACATCACTCGTAAGATGACGTAGAATTACATTCACATCCCAGGCTGGGGCTCTGAATTTCTTTTACTGGTCCTCCAGTTCAAAAGATCTCAGCACAGAGCAAGTAATTCTGGTACTTTCGTCAACTTGATGCCTGTTTTCATCGTAATCACTGTACTGATGGCCGCGTGGTATGTAGATAATGTCGAACCTTTCAGATGTCTGGTCTGTCTAAGATGACACAGATATTCCGCCACTTGAGGATGAGTAGCTATCATCGCAGTGAAGCCTTTCCGCCTTGCATAAGTATCAAACATCAGCCATTTGTCATCATACAGGTTACGAGTAGATCTGCTTAAGGCTAGCGTTACTACCTTGGCTGCCCTGGCGGAGTATCCTCTTTTCTTGAAGCATGTTTTGATACGGTCTACACGTGTAACTGGAATACTGTCGGGTTCCCGTGGACTTGCTTGGTGTGCGGGTGTATGAGTAGGTTCGGCCAATCTGGTAACTTGATTACTGGACTTCCAAGATCTTCTAATAGGTCTGGGAACCATACTCTCGCTGGCCAGTAGGGCGCGACCAAAGTCAGTTGTAGCGCCTGAGTCTGTTTGATCTTGAACAGAACTTCTGGAAGTAATATCGGGGGTGGAAACCTGTAGGCGTTTAGTCCTTCCCATGACATGCTCAGTGCATCTGTTGCCCAGGCTTAAGGATCTGGTACTGGCGAGACAAATGTCTCTATGCAAGGGGATCCTATTTCCCTTATGATGAGCCGGAACGCTTCTGGATGGAGCATCCATTCCGTAGGTGATGGGTGCAGTGGTCGGGAGAGAGCCTTTGCAAGTGCGTTCTTGGTTCCGGGTATGTGGCACGCCTTTATCCAGATGTTTGCTTCCTGTGTGATCTGGAACAATTGGAATGTGAGCTGTAGCAGGCTTGGAGACTTTGTGGATCCTTGCCGATTTATGGAGAATGCCACTGTAGAGTTGTCCGTGTGGATCATCAGCATTCTGTTGTTCAGCGAGCTCGACCATAGTTGTAAGGCGTTGATCACGGATTTCATCTCTAGCAGATTGATGTGAAGATGCTGTTCTATTTTGGACCACCTTCCTGACGCAACTTGATTGTTGAGATGCGCACCCCATCCTTGCATCGAGGCGTCTGCGTAGAGATGTGTGTCGAAGGCCGGCTCTTGTAAATAGGTCCCTTCGCAAACGTTCGACCTGTGCGTCCACCACAGTAGATACCTCTTGAGGTTGTCTGGCAGCAAGATAGGGTCGACCCTGTCTAGATGTTTTATCAGGAACTGTTGCAGCGGTCTTAGTTGTAACCGTCCTGTGCGAGTCAAGTCCTGTGCCAAGGTTAGTAGACCGAGTAGAACTTGCCATGATCGTAGTGTTAACAGAGAAATGACTGCTGGTGGAATCATGGCTTTTATCTTGACCCAACGATCTTCTGGGACGACAATACGATTCTGTGTTGTGATAAACCTTATCCCCAGAAATTGTAGATCTTGTTTTGGTTCCAACTCTGACTTCATAAGGTTCACCAACCATCCTAGTTGAGTGAGCAACTTGATTGTGAAGTTCAGTTGTAGTTTGAGTTGACTGGCATCTTGGTGAACCTGAATCCCGTCGTTCAAGTAGAAGGCATTGCCTAGACCTCAATGATGTAGATATGTGACTATAGGCTTGGTTTCTCGTGTGAATAGCCACGGAGCCGAAGATATTCCAAACGGTAGGACGTTCCATTGGAAGTGCTGCCCTCTGAATAGGAATCGTAGATACTTTCTTGAATCCGGATGTATAGGGATGTAAAGATATGCATCCTTCAGGTCTATGCTGGCCATGTAATCTGCTGGACGGACGAGTAGTTTGAGTTGAGGTAGGTGGATCATTCTGAACCTCTTTGGTTTCAGTAGGTAGTCTTTGTTGAATTTGCGAATGTTGTAAATCAGTCTGAACTTCTCCTTGGAGTTCTTCTTGGGTACTAGAAAAATAGGGGAATAGAAGCCTGAAGTGAGATGATTCTGATCTATTATCTCTACAGCATCTTTCATCAGTACTGCGTTGATGGCTTCTTGTAATTTGTCTGCCTGTTCCTCTGCATAGTTGAAGACCATCGGGCTGAGGGTAAGTGCAGGTGTGGCTCTTAGTTGTACTCTGTATCCTTCTCTTAGTACTTGGGAGACATAGTCGTCCTCTAGTATTCCCCCAATTCTTCCAGTACCTTTGTAGACGTCCACCCACTGTCGACAGTTTTACAGGAACGGCTGGGGGTGGAAGACTCCAGTTGTTCCAAACCTTGATATCAACGTCTAGTTCTTCTGGATCCTCTGGGTGCGCGGCCTCTCCCTGAGTTTCCTCTGTAACTTCCGGATGGGCGACGAAAAGATCCTTTGCCGCCTCTGAAGCTGGAGTACTTCTTGTCCTTTGCCTGCTGTATGCCGGAATATTTGGACTTGTTGTTATACTTTTGAGAAGTATGACGGATGACGTTGGCCAGAGTATCTATGGACTTTATCATCATAACTTCTCTAGAGTCGTGCGTAGCTTCCTTAGCTGCATCCTCTATTTGTCCTCCAAAGATAGTAGGCGCGCCTCCCATCGAGCTCTCAGTAGCGGTTGGGTGAATCTATCATTTCATGAACAGGATGCAAGTAGCCCTTGTCTGCGTAATAAAGTGAGACCTGCAGATATAGATGTCAGATGGTCCGATAAAAAGTATTGGTCCTTCTTCTGTATAATGAGGGCTGAGTATATCATTTTATCCTCTTCCGAAGTTGAATTCTGGAATTTATTGATCAATGCTTCATTGATGGCTCTGGACCTGGCCAACCCGAAGAAGGATCTCCTTGTAGCAGTATCAAGTTGAAATAGCTTTTTGTCTTCCACTTTATACATCTTGTTTCGAAGTCATTGACTAACTTGATGTTATCATCCCATTCATGCGCCTTTGTAAATGGATCCATATGATGTAAGGGGAATCTCTTCACATTAAATGATGGCAGGTGCTGACTCTGGTACTTGGATGCTTTTGCGAAAGCTGTGCGTAGGTTAGAGGGTATCTTGGATATAGGTTCAATCGGAGGGATAGTGACGGAGTCGAAGTCGTCGTTACGCATCATATAAGCGTAGACTTCATCTTTATCCTTTATCTTTATCCTGGTTGGTAAATTGTTTCATAAATTCGTCCGGATCAAAGTTCTGCATAGGTTGAAGTTGCTGCGGTGTAGACGAAGCTTTGCGAACGCTGATGAGTTCTGTGCCTCAACTTCACTCCGTTGAGAAGTAGGTGGTAGTTCGTCAAACAGCTGTCCTGCTGTGACCATTGTAGGGGACGATCTAGTAGTTGTAGAGGTCGATTGAGTCGCTGATCTCATAGATACTTCTGGTAGAAGTAATGGGGGGTCATGAAAGACGTCTATTTGGTGTGGAGGTAATATCTCTTCGTTGAAGGATTTCTGCTGCGTTGATGTACTAGCACGCGTAGATTTGCCCTCCGATCTGGTAACAGATGTTTTCTTCTGCGTTGTAGAAGAAGATGACATCTTTTTCTTAGCCTGAGACGGAGTCAACAGCGTTGTAGATGATCTTTTCTTGGCCCCCTTACCAGCAGACTGCCCCCTGTAACGCTCTAAACATAGCTGATATGAACATCAGCAGTAGCAAGCAATATACGGTTTGATGGCTGATCTCTAGTTTCATCAATCGTGACTTGAGAAGACTTTCTCATCCGATCCATGGCACGTCTATAGATATAAGACAAATATTGATTAAATTGAAGATTTGATAAATCAACACAATAAGTACAGCGCAAGCTGGAAGAACATGGTTTTACGCACGAAGGGCACTGGGGGTGAGGATCAGCCACAGATAACCTGTGCCTGCAAACACTGCAAGATTTCATGAAATGTAAACAAGGTTACATAACGATGAAAAACCAACTCAAATGTAAATAATTTCTACAATTTTACATATAAATACATAGTAGTTATTGCCAAATCCATATACTGCGTAATTTTGAAGAATAGGACCTAAATATAAAAGGATATAATGCCGTATACGGGACTCCAGTGAGAGAGTGACAAGTAAGGCAGGTCACATAACTGTTTGCGCGGGAAAAGGAAAAAAGGGAGGCAACTCGTGGGTGAGTGTATTTTGACGTCCGCTTCGGGAACTTCAAGGGATTCAAGTGTTCCACTACCATTCGCAAGGGAAAGGGAGATAAGCAAAAGATCATGAGTCAGGATAAGTAAATATATACATAACTTACAGAGACCATCTCCCAGGATCAGTGCTTAGTGTTGGATATTGACTGTCAAGTTCATTGTATGAAGATTGAAAATCAGTACATGACAGTAATACAGTATACCCCTAAAACCCTACTTTACTGCTTGCAGTATATATTTGTGATTTTGGAAATTTGAACTATAAGCTGTATATATATAATACTTATCCTATCTCATGTTTTGCACTTTTCCTGACCTTTGACCATGGAGTGGAGACCAAGAGTGCTGTACCATCTTGCCCAAGCACACCCATGCTATTGCTGAAGGCCATGGCTCATAGGAAGCACATGCAAAATGTGCACCTTGCCTTGGCTGATCATGTGACCAACCAATCTTGTCATATGTATAGCGTTGTTGTTACGGTGGGTGTCCATCATGTGAGAAAGGTGAGGTGAGGTGAAATTGGGTTTAACGTCGTGCTTGAGAATATTTCGCTCATATGACGACGTGCATGCGTGTGTATGCAGTGGCCGAGGAGGGGTTAAGGGACATAATTTTGGACGAGCCCATCTTCCTTTCTCAATCATAAGTGAATGAGAAGATAATCGTAGTCGTGTCAAGGCTACCCTATAGTTTATAATATCAACTTGAGACAAATACTTTTCCATGGTAAGTGATGATTTGATAAGAAAATATATGCTTGTTTCACTAAGTGAACTTAAATTATTTTTCCACATTTGTGAATGTATATCAATAACCCTTTGTCTAAAAGCACTTATAAATCCTCTACAATTTAGAGTCAATTTCTGTTGTAACCAAATACAACCATATCCATAATGAACCAACAAGTCTCTAATGAGAGTAACCCATGTCGTATATGTTGGATTCTCCCAAGCGTTGTCGACTAGAGCCCTATATGTAATGCTTATATATCAGTTTTCGTTACAGGTGATAATCTTAATCCAATATTTCAGAATGCGTAACGATCCGATAGTAATCAATGGCAGTATGCCCATTTCACCATAGACAAAAGCTGATGGTGTTGAACTTTTAGCACCTGCTTAATAAACTTTAAGAGGACCCTTTCGATAGTTGGCGCTTCACAACCATAGCATAAAATTGGCAGTATTAAGCTTTTAAACAATTGATACTGCTGTGCAGGGGACATATATGAAATGGACAACAATATTCGTTGTAACGAAAATAAGGATTTCATAGCCTGCTCCAATAGAGTCTTTTGTGCCTGGGAAAAACTACCTGTTGCTGAGAAAACAATACCCAAACATTTGAAACTATTAACATTTTCTAGTACCTGATCACCATAATACCAGATTTCTCTCTTGGACAGTCTACCCCCTTTTCTGAAAATAACAACCTTAGTTTTATCTGTATTAACAGTGATGGCTCACTAGTTGCATTATCTCTGTGAAAAAACAAGACCATGTTGTAAGCCCTCGATGGATTCACTGAACAAGACCATATCATCAGCAAATAATAACATAAATAACTTAATGTAAAAACACCATCATGCCAATATCATTGCAAGCAGAGCAATCAGACACAATATCATTTATAAACAATGAAAATAATAAAGGCGATAAATTTTCCCCTTGCCTGACACCTATACTTGATGAAAAGAACACTGAATAGCTATTTCCAGGAAGTTTAACACAAGAGGACACATCCATGTATATATATTTGTAATTAATGATAGAAATTTAGAACTAATACCTAAGGAATAGAGTTTAAACCAAAGAGCTTGCCTATCAACATAGTCATATGCCTTTCGAAAATCCACAAAAGCACAATATAATTTCACCCCTTTACTCAAGTCTAAATTACAATTACAATAACGTGCTGTTGTTAATGTTAATCTGCTGTTTGCCATAACATACCATGTATATACACTTCTCACCATTTGGTTGTAGTTACTTTTAGCTTGATAACGGTAAAAGAATGTAAAAAAAATTATACCCCTTGTATGAAGCAAAGTCGGTCAGATTCAAGTTATTATAGGCACTCACATTGCATGTGTTGAATACATACCTATTGTCATTAAGCTCTGATGACTTGCCACTGATGGCGCTATCCCCTTCGTCCTCTGAGGTTGGTGGAACCAGATGAGAACTGAAAGTCAGGGTGGATGACAGGCCACCGTTCACAACAAAATCACTACTATTGGGCTCATCAATGCTGGATATGTCATAGTCTGAAAAAGCATGCTTTCCATCTGCTATTTGTCTCTGTAAAAAAACAACAAAAAAACAATAAGAGTACTGGCTCCTTGACTCATCTCTACTGAAGAAAGAGAGAGGCTACATTTATTGAGCACAACCCCTTTTGTCTGCTCTTCAAAATTCAGCGGATCTTCATTCATACACATCACAAATAACATTTTATTTCTGTTTGTAATACATGTAACTGCCTACTGTATAATTACAGAATAAACTCTATCTGTTTGTGACTAGGACATCAGCCTACAAACAGAAATGTAGCTCACATGGATATATAGTCAACAGGTTAAAATGTCAACTAAAACAGGTATATTATTACTGTGTACTGGAATAGATTTCAGAGGTTGAGAGTGCGTTCTACATCAAAAGATCAGCACCAAAGTTTGTGAAGAATGGTACGTACCTCTGTTAAAGACAGTTCTGGAGAATGTATATCAACTGGTACCAGAGTTTCAAGGCTACAGCTTCCTCGCAAACTGTTTTCAGGAGAGTGAACTGTAAAAATAAATAACAAATGCTAGCTTGGTTTAGCTATCAATATGTTTGGAAAGGCTACAAAAGTGATCCTGTACCTTACCTAGTCATGTAATACTCCATTTTCGGGAACATTTTATACTGTCAGTAAGAAATGCTACATATATGTTGTACGAATGGTTTTCTTATTGTCGTCTGCAAAGCAGCCTATGCACATGCGCTGATTGGAGGCGTGTGTGATTGAGAGTTCGACGTGATGTGCTTGAGTATATTATCACACTCGCAACATGACCTGTGAGTTTTGACTTTGACTATGTTGTCAACATGTGGAATAAATGTGTAAGCCTAAACTCTGCCTTCTTTTCATATACATTGGACACCATCAATATTATATTGTATGATGAAATCTGTCTGAATTGAAAGCACTGTTTGGACAAGACAATATGATACTTTTTATATGTTTGAATATGCATTAACTAAATCTTACAATTTTCAGAAGCCTAAGCCACTGTCAATTTTCCATAATAATCTGTACCAGAAATGGAAATTTTAACTATAAATTGTATATTTATAAATACTTATCCTACCTCACACTATGCACTTTCTCTTCTTTCAACCATGATATGGAAATGATCTGGCACAAAAGTTTACAACCTCTTACAACATCTTTCCCAAACACAGCCCAGCTCTCTTTGTTGTTCTACGCAGTCACATGTCACATGCAAGGCATGCATCATGCTCTGGTTGATCTTGTGAGCTATGTTCATTTCTTGAGTTGGAGCCAATGCCATCCCAGTAACCTATCTCTTACTTGATGCTAATCCATTGTGTGAGAGAGATATAATTTTAATGATAAAATTGATATTTTATACTTATCCTGACCAGTGTTCGCGGTAGGTTTTGTACGAGTGCATGCAGAAGTAAAATTAGAAATATGTAGTCCAAATCTTTTGCGTGTGAATTTTCATTACAATAAAATCATTATCATAACATGTAATTTTCTGATTAAAATTGAAATTTTATACTTATCCTGACTGATGCCTAATTGCTTGTCTCCTTCCTCTTGCGAACTATAGTGGAACACTTGAATCCCCTTTTGAAGCTCCCTTAAAAAAAGCGGATGTAAAATCACTCACCCCACGAGTAGCCTACCTTTGATATTTGGCGCCAAAACCGTCACATGATCAGACATGCTTCTTCACTCTCTCCGAATATGAGCCCGACACCCAGATCTACAGGGAAATCCAGAGTGCCAGGAGGGGAGGTTGGGAGGTCTGACCTCATGAGTCAGGTTAAGTATAATATATCAATTTTAATCAGAAAATTACATAGTTTTCCTTATCCTGACTCATGCTTAATTGCTTGTAGAATCCAACAGAACCGGTGGTGGGTCAAGCCACTCTGGATTCATAGCTGCTAATTTACGTCCTGCATACCCCCCTAGGGAACTTCTAATGGCACTGTGTCCTTTCTTCCAGCTTCCTCTGATGAGTCTGGGGGGACCACAACTTGTCAGATTTCTCTGGAATCGTCTTCTCCTGACATTATGTGTGGATTTATGCAACTCCATATCTTGATGCTCGCATCAAGTGGAGAAGCGACCCTTCTTCATGTACAAGTAAGTCCTTACAAGTACAGGGTCTGTCACTCATGCTAGCCTGTGCTAGACGTGCGCATGGACTCTAAAGCTCTAACTCTTCCGAGTGTTGGATTTTACAAGTCATGTGATAAATAGGGTGAGATTCATCTCAGCGTCTTTGAGGAACCGTCAATTGTTGTGCTACAACAAGAGGCCCAAACTGGTGACTGCCGGAGACATCCTCGGTAGCCATGTCTCTGAGGTAGTGGTTGGCAAACACCGTCTCCGACTTCCAAAAGCAGCCCTCCATTATTGTCGAGATGGAGCAGTTCCCATGCAGAGCCAGTGCTCTGACTTTATGAGGATTGGAGGCTCGTGGAGGCTCAAGTCCTGCTGCTTTGTAGGCTCTCAATATGACGTCTCTCATCCATATTGATATTGTTGTACCTGAGACCTCTGTAGGCATCTAGATAGAGGGATGAAAAGGCGCTTGAATTTTCGTCTCCTCGTTTTCGACCTTTGTAGGTAGACCTTCAATGCTGACTGGGCATAGGGCTAAATCTTGAGTATCCTGTGGCCCTAGGATTCAAGATTGACGAGAGTGCTGGGATATGGAACTGTCTGTCTGGTTGACCGGGCAGTTGGTTCTTTGCTATGAAGTCCCATCTCAATCCCAGATGTGCAGTGTCACGATGTGTGTCAAATCGTGTTCGTTCAAAGTCCAGAGCATGTATTTCTAACAACCGTGCTGCTGTTGCCAGGCGATCAGGAACAGAGTTTTATGAGTTAACCTCTCATAGGATGTCCTTTCTAGTGGTTCGTAAGCGTCACTGGTGAGATGCTGCAAGACCATGTTGAGATCCCAAGCAGGCGCCTTAAACTTCTTTTGTTGGTCTTCCAACTTAAAGGAGCGTAGTAATGCCAGTATCTCTGGTACTTTGGTCAGCTTCACACCCGTCTTCATGGTGATAACTGTGCTGAGGGCCGCTAGGTATGTAGAGAGTGTTGACCCTTTTAGCCGCCTTGTTTGTCGTAGATGACAAAGGTATTCCGCCACTTGAGGATATGTTACTTTCATCGCCGTGAAACCCTTCCTCAATGCATATTTCTCAAAACTCTGCCACTTGTCGTCATACAAGTTGTGGGTCGATCTACGTAGAGCTAATGTGACTGCTTTTGCTGCTCTGGCGGAATATCCTCTTTTCTTCAAGCAAGTGGTGATACGTTCCACGCGTGTAGCTGATATACTGTTGGATTTCCGTGTGCTTGCTCGGTATGCGGATGATCTAGTAGATTTGGCCACTCTGGGAGTTGCAAGGTTGGATTTCCGAGTTCTTGTACATGAATGGGAAACCACACTCGCTGGCCACTAGGGCGTGAGCAAAATCAGTTGCAGCTTCTTCGCCTGCTTGATTTTCTGCAATACCTTCGGTATTAGAGCTGGAGGAGGGAAAGCGTAAGCGTTTAGTCTTTCCCAAGATATGCTTAAACCATCTGTTGCCCATGCTTGTGGATCTGGATTCGGAGAGACGAATGTTGGTAGTTGTTTGTTGAACTTTGTCGCAAAAAGGTCTATCAGTGGAGATCCTATTGTCTGAATGATGCGTCTGAATGATGCATCTGAATGCCTCTGGATGTAACAACCACTCCGTCGGGGATGGTTGCGTTGGACCAGATGGCGTCTGCTATCACATTTTTGGCTCCGGGAATGTGGCATGCTTTTATGTCGATGTTCAGGTTGTCTATTATGCTGAATAGCTGAAAGCTGAGGTCTAGCATTGTTGATCCTTGTCTGTTGATGTAGAACGCCACTGTGGAGTTGTCCGTATGGATCATCAGCTGTGCGTTCCTTAGTATGCTGGACCAGTGTAGTAAGGCGTTTATTACTGCTTTCATTTCGAGCATGTTGATATGCAGACTTTGTTCCTGACTCGACCATTTTCCCTGTATAGCTCTCTGTATCCCCGTAAACTTCGATTTGCCAGAGTAGCATTGAGATGTCTGTCGGATAACAATGGCCAGTGTATCGATGGTCTTGATCATCATGACCTCCCTAGACTCCTTCGTAACTTCTTTGGCCACGTCTTCAATTTCCACTGCGGATATAGCTGATGCTGACCATGGAGCTCTGTACAAAGTCTCTGTACAAAACTTCTCACTCCAATTACAGGAAGATAGTAGCCCTTGACTTCTCAGTAGCGTCAACCCTGCTGATGTAGATGCCAGATGCTCCAATATAAACTGCTGGACTTTCTTCTGGGTCAGCAATGCCGAGTAGAACATACGATCTTCTTCCGAGGTGGAGTTCCTAAACTTCGCAATGAGGGTTTCATTGATGGCTCTTGATCTGGCTAGACCAAACAAGGTACGCCTGGTAGTTGTGTCTAGTTGTGCTAGCTTCTTATCGTCCACTTTATAAGTCCTGGTAAGGGCGTCATTGATGATTTTGTAGTTCTCGTCTATCTCTGGGGCCTTCATGAAGGGTTCCATATGGTGTAGAGAGAACTTCTTGGCGTTGAACGGTGATATACTTTGACTCTGGAACTTCGCTGCCTTCCTGAAGGATGTACTGAGGTTCTTTGGTACATTCAACACAGGATCTATGGGTGGAAGAAGGGTGAGCGTATCAAATTCGTCGTTTGACATCATGTACGTGAATGCTTCATTATCCTCTTTAGAAGGTGATGCAAGCTCCAATCCATTAGCCATCCAAGACTTCATCTCTGTATCGGAAAATATGATTCCACCATCATCTTCAGATTTGGATGCATCTTGTTCTGAAGACCGTTGCCGTTGTGCTTGCTCCCTAAGTGGAGATCTACGTGGAGACATTCGCAAATGCCTTCGTGGAGATGCGTGTGGAGACCGGAGTGGTCACCTATGTGTGCGTGAAGATCTGCGTGGCGATGAACGTAAAGATCTTCCTGAAGACCTGCGCGAAGGTGATCGATCCGTATAAAGATCCTCCCTGGAGTCTTGAGACGTATTCCTGAAGATCCTCTTCCGTGGGATGTGAAGTACGTTCGCGCAGGTCCGTGATGATTGTCCGAGTCTGAGGTTGAGGATGATCTGCGATGCTCCGGTGAACGTCTGGTTCTCCTTCGCGAATGCTCCTCTTCTATTGCAGGCTCATCGTTGTCCAGGTTGGTAGGTCTTCGGGAAGTTGTCATGGATGACTGTCGAGTACGTGATCCTTCACGAACATTCCCTTCTTCAAGCAGGCTGCCATCTTCAGGCTGCTTGTCCTTCGTGCAGGTTCGTCGTAGATAGTTTCTTCACCGCAGCCTTCTCCTGCGCGATCCTCCGTTCCATCAGGTCCATCATCTGCTGAGTAAACTGCTGCATGAAGATACCCGGGTTGAAGGTCTGCGCTGACTACTGCTGCTGCTGTAAAGATGACGACGCATCTGAGCGTGCTGAGGCTCCTTCCAAGGACTGCCTGTCGTCTCTGGTCTCTGAAGTCTCTGACTCCGTTGATATGGCTGCTGACGTCACTGTAGAAGAAGACCTCGTCTTCTTCCTAACTGTTACTTCAGGAATCAGGATGGGTGGTTCATCGTATACGTCTGCTTCGTCCAGTTGGGTGATTTCTGCGGCGAAGGACCTCGTCTTCTTTGCTGCCCTAAGGGACAACTTCGATGAAGCCTCATCTGTAGACGATTTCTTCTTCCGAGCAGACGATGTCCTAGTCTTCTTAGACTGCGATGAGGGTAGTTGAGACGATGACGATCTCTTCCTGGACCCAGAGCTCAAATCTGCCAGTCAACAGCTCCGTAGTAGCCAACAGCAAATCACTGGAATGGTGAATCTCAGCAGACACTAATACACGGTTATCAACACATTCACTCTGTTTAGACTTGACTTGTAAAAGTCGTCTCGACCTGTCCTTGGCATGTCTAAGAATGGAATATAAATAATAAGTAAATTCAATTTCAGATAAATGCTGACAAAGTTTACAGCGGAGGCTGGAAGAACATGTAGAAGTACAGTTAGGACATAGTGAATGCGGATCAGCAGCCGACAAACGAAACCTGCAACAAATGCAAGTTTTCATCAATGTAAACATGATGAAACATCATGTTTACAACCGTGAATAAACGGAAAATTTGGTACAAATTTCAAACCATATTGCTGGTACATCCTTGCTAAAGACCGTATACAGCTAATTTAGTAGTCAAAGCCTAAAATAAAAGGATATAATGCCGTATAGGGGACCCAGGCGCTCTCACAACCGTCCTCTAGGGGAGAGTGAAGAGCATGTCTGATCATGTGACGGTTTTGGCGCCAAATATCAAAGGGAGGCTACTCGTGAGGTGAGTGATTTTACGTCCGCTTTTTTGAAGGGAGCTTCAAAAGGGGATTCAAGTGTTCCACTATAGTTCGCAAGAGGAAGGAGACAAGCAATTAAGCATGAGTCAGGATAAGGAAAAATAAATAATTATAATTACAATCTTTAACTTTCGTTCCAGTATTTGAATATAATGAACGATCATGATGTGCTTAGTATAAATTTGCCACCCTGGAACACAGGAACGGGGAACGCCATTAATTTCTTGTAGTTTCATAAGAGAAAAACTTTCTCTACGGCATTTCCTCTTTGGTCATACCATAGACTGTGCTCAACATCACTATTTTGGACGGTGAATCCTGTTCAGCCTTTTTTTCAACATGTTTTTGCAATGTTTTGGATTTTGTTTCTGAGCTGATTGCAAGTTTGTGGTCCGCCAAGAGCATTTCGCTGATTTGTCCGAACACCCTCTTGTAAAGGTGTTAGTGTCTGTATCCTCACAGGGTTTGCAGTATTGTAAAATTATTGTCCTCCTGTGTGGGTACATAAGTCCCATAACATTCAAGGTAAATTTATACTTCCCATATTTTTTAAATGTAGTATTTGTGTTATTTTAAATTATGGCTAAATTTTCCTACAATCGCCAGCGGCTGAAGAGATGGTGTAAATCCAACAAGACGACAAAGTCATCAATATCCCTCGCAATGGCAAAATACTCTTCATGAATATGTCTACAAGTTATGATTATGTCAAATGTTTTGGTGTGTATATAGAAAAGTGGAAGGAGAGTATTGAAAGGTTTTAAAAGTTCTGCTCCAGAAAGGAGCACTACCACCAGTTTCAGTCTTAGTCAAACTTGTTGCCATGGAAATGCCAAAAATATGTTATTCAGAATACCAAAACTACCAAAAGGCACCAGTACACCACCAGATGTATGTATGTGCCAAGTTTGGTGAAGAAATATTGAACGGTTTTAGAGTTCTGCTCCAGAAAAGAGCACTACCACCAAATTCAGTCAAAGTCAAACTTGTTGCCATGGAAACAAAAAATATTTTATTCAGAATTCCAAAACTATCAAAAGGCACCAGTTCACTACCAAACCTATCTATGTGTAAAAAGTCTGGTGAAGAAATATTGATCAGTTTTAAAGCTCTGCTCCGGAAAAGAGCACAACCACCAAATTCAGTCGAAGTCAAACTTGTTGCCAATTAGACATCATCATGTCCCAATTAGACATCGAGACTGCTTATTAGATCATTGCGGTTTACTCCCAAAAGTTAGACGTCCCAAAAGTCATCCATCCTATTTGTCAAACAAATCAATCAGGCGTGACTGTGATTACAGCCTAGTCTTACCCACTGATATAATGAACCTGTCCCATACACTAACCAGATGGTTTTCACATTTGTACAGAAATACTTTGATCAGAATACTAATGTTGACAGTTAATCTAGAGAAAACTCAAATTGTTGTTTTTAGAAGAGGTGGACCCTTAGTGAGAAATGAGAAATGGTTTTATAAAGGTGAACGTGTCTTAACAGTTGATTCATATAGATATCTAGGTATTCCTTTTTCATCTTCTTGTAAGTTCAATAAATGTATATTATATTCATCATCTAAGGGTATAAGGGCACTTCTAGAATTACTACACCACTTATATAAACTAGACAATGTTGACTATTCTGTATTTTTCAAAATATTTGATACCCAAATTCAACCAATCCTTTTGTATGGTGCCGAAGTATGGGGTATTAATAAATGTACATTTATCTGCATGTAAGAAGTTCTTAAATGTTGGTCCCCAAACACCAAATGTAATTGTTTATGGTGAATGTGGATGTTACCCATGTAAATAAATGCACAACGGCATTTCATAAAATACTGGCTTAAACTTGTTAATATACATCAACAAAGAATTCAAAAAAAACCTTATGATATGCTAATGTATTACGATAATTGTGGCTATGATAAATGTGTTTCATCTGTGCGTAATTTATTGTTTTCATATGGATTTGGTTATGTTTGGTTATTTCAAGGTGTTGGTAATGAATCCCAGTTTCTTCAAATGTAAAGTTGCAGTTGACATGTCTGACTGACTGAGTTTGGTGTTACGCCGCTTTTAGCAATATTCCAGCAACATCACGGCGAGGGACACCAGAAATGGGCTTCACACACTGTACCCATGTGGGGATTCGAACCCGGGTCTTCGGCATGACAAGCCAACGCTTTAACCACTAGGCTACCCCACCGCCCCGCAGTTGACATGTATATACAGTCATGGAATAGTATAATTGAAGAAAGTTCAAGGTATAAGGTGTACAGACAATTTAAAACCCTTTTAGATTCAGAAAAATATTTAGATATGTTAACAAATATATAAGAAACACAGAAATATTCTTACAAGGATCAGAGATTTTGCATGCATGTTTTTACGATGTTCACCTTGATCAAAACAGGATTATAGATTTTTTATGGTTATGAGTTTTCATTAACCTAATGGAGTTACTTCCTTCCTAACATTGTTTTTCCAACATAAACAATATAAAATAAAGTCATTGTCATTATCCATAATCTCTTCTCTTTGTGTTTGGAATAGTACATTTGGACTGGTCCATTAATTAACGAAGGTAACAGTGTAGTGAACCTCAGTGCAACCAACCATAACATTTGTTGTTTTAACGCATCTAACTTTTGGGAGGACACTGCCATTGCTGTACTGTCATTACACATGTGAGCCATGCTTTAACCCACAGTTTAACCGGATCAGCGATATCGTGTTGGCGTTATTGCAAGGGATGTACCATGTAATGTTCACATGTTTGACATAATAATGACCATGACGACAGGGATCCAAGGTAGCAAAAGATCCGAATACATGTTGACAAACAGATGGCAATTTAAACTCATAATTTGAACTTTCATCTAGCATTCAGTCATACATACATCGTTCTGTTCTTCTTTTTGAAAGGGTTACTCTATTGCCTTACCTTGAGTTTGAATCGCTGCTAACTGTTTTACCCCTTCACAGAAGTCACGAAAGCCTATAATGCCTGTTCCATCAGGGTCCAAAAGGTTGATTATGCCAGTTATTTCCTAAATAGAGAAAAACGTGGATAAATCCCAATTTGTTAGAACTCAATCAATTCTGAAAGTGTATGAATTTACTTTGATTCTCTGACTCCCTGTCAGATCAATCATCTGATTTGTTGTCATGTGAAGACTTCCACATGTTTTTGTATGTAGTACAATACTTATGTTACACTAACATTAGTAAATCACATATTATTGTACATGAGAGCCGTCTCAGTCTAACAAAACAACAGTCTATATTGTAGTTAGTGAGACACCTAAGTATTTCTTCTGTGCCATTTCAACTTTTACTGTGTCATGGCACACAAATTAAGCACTATTTTGACCTCTGCCATTGTATTTACATGACATGTTGCCACCCAAGGTATCAACAACTACTAAATTAAGTTAATATGATTGACAAAATAAGGACAATAGTTATTTACCACATGCTCGAACGACTACATACCAGTATTCATTTATACCTTCTTCAAAAGAAAAACTGAATACAGAACAATATTGTCAAATATTAAAAAGATTAGTAAAGGAACTATTGCATCACGTCAAACAGCTTATATTTAACATATAAGTCTAAGACACCCAAAATGCAGATATTATCGGATACTTTATCCTGCTCTTGTGGAAATCCATGTGAAAACAATATAAACTTGTTTCTTGACTGCCCAAAATACGGAATCCACAGAAACATCATGTTCATTAACATCATAACGCTGGTAGTACATGCATGGTAGTGATGAATCTTTACCCGAAATTAAAGATCTTTTTTTTGATAGCATCCAAAAATCTATTTTGTCTACTAATAGGTTGGAGTAAGTCTTTAGCATGATATTAAAGACTATTCTATGACCACTTACCATATAAAACAAAACTAAAACTGCAACATTAGTTCAGGTACTGCAGGGGCTGCCTCTGTGTGAGTGATAGACTGAGTGAGTGAGTGAGAGGTTTATGTACATAAGTGTTCTTGTATATGCAGGTGCACAGGTATATGTGTGCTTGTGTATTTATGTGTTAGCACAAAAACAAAAGTGCCCATATGAACATTGTATGTATGTTTATATTCTGCAAAGCCTGTTTCTGTTTTTCATGAAACTATATATCTGTCTGTCAGTTTGAAATCATAAACAATAAGGAATCAATGTCTGTACATATGTATTTGGGAGAGGTCCATCTAAGTTAGACAACTTTATACCAATTCCACTGACCCTTTATGACAATATAATGTTTAAAAACAAAACATATTGATGTGTTCAGACAACTGTGATAACATCTAACATAAACTTTCATCAATTATTGCCAGTAAATTTGATCACTTTATGTAATAAAGATTCTAGGAATTGGTTGTTCCACTTGTTGCTTTTTTCTGCTCAGTTACATAAAGCACCCATAATACTTTCAAAGGAATCTTGTAAGATAACAAGACATTACCAGACAAACATGATGTCATTTGTTGAGTTTAGTCAACTTAATGTATAAACCAGATAATGATGTGATCTCTCACTGGCAGCTTGGCTTGTATAAACTGGATGAACGGGTATTGACAGTCAGTGTCCTAAAGGCAACTCTCAGTTGAAATGCATAACCATACTAAACAGTTATATGGCCATAAAAACATATGACCAAAATCATTGGTCATGAAGAGATACCCATCTTTATAAATATGTTTACAAAATCCCCAAATGATAACTATTTCCAATTGTACCCATCAAAACAATACTGAACAGTCCAAAATTTAAGCTTGTGAGTTCAAGTGACATGATGGACCCAAGAAAAATAGCCTATCCATGACAAGGCTTCACCAAAGATTTGTTGCTGTTCTTTAAACATGTCAAATCTTCTGTATGTATCCAGCTATTGGAATAATGTCCTGGAGCGGCGTTTATATAAGCCATTACGCTTGTTCGCCTAACCAGGTTTCAGTTTTTGCAAAATAAAAATATGTTTAAACCATCATATGAATTATTGACCAGAAGACAAACCAGTAACTGACATCATGAGCTTCACCCACAACATCACCATAATCACAATAAAATGTAACACAATCAAGTCACTGAATCTCACCTCCAGATCTATTTAGTCACATCTTCCAACAAGCACAGTTCAATGGGAACCTATTCATACCTGGGATACCCATAGGGTTGTATATCAGATGTTTAAAGTTGAATGCAATAATCCTTTGCTCAAAAACTAAACTCTGTTCTTGTATTATCCAAATCCAAACACGTTGCCATGGACAGCCATGATCCTGGCATTTTAATAAGTTCTTAATACAAAGAAAGACACCAGTTCAATACTCAACTGGTTTGTAAACACAGTTTCACAAAGACACAGTAACTGTTTTGCCAGTCATGCTTATGAAACAAAATATATGAAAACTAAAAGACAGAGCATTTGGATGTGAACTTTAACAGTAAAGAAAACATACTGAGCTGAAACAAAAATATTTTCAGTAGTCACACTCACACGTCAACATGAGAGTTATGACTGGGAAATGGATACTTAATTACAATAAACCCGGCTTATTCAACTTTTTAACACTCTTAACGAATCATTATGCTTTTTCAAAGGAATTATTTCAAAACAAATTTCTTCAACTATATTAATTACTAGATCGCTTCCTCTTCCTGCTTGTTTGATTGAGGAGAGTTACAACTTACAAGCTCAACAGATGACATCATACCGATTGATTTTGCTATACTGACAATAGATTGAATGATGAATGTTGATCGTTTATTTAACTATCACGTTTTTTAAGTTTATACCGAAACAAACACATTTTTCCAATATGTGTCAGTACATCTGGAAAAAGTAGATGCATGTTTACTGTGCTAACACACCTGAGGCTGTGCAGCTCCGAATTGTTCCTTCGTCAACACACTCTGTACATGATCCACAGCTATATATCCGTCATGATCTTCGTCGTAAAAATCAAATATATCTCTTAATTTATCTTCATACGATTCGTTCTCTTCCATGTCATTTAGATGACCAGTTCATTCCCACCCACTTTGACATGTCTCGCCCAGATTATCGCATTCACTAACCGTATCGCCAACAGGTGCGTGTAACGGAAGTGAGTTCGAATAAAAGTAGTTCTGTTCCAGTTATGTTTTCTTAAAGCATTCATACCACGTTGTGTTTCATACCAACGAACATTATTGTTCTCATATAAAAATAAAAAGGTCTGCTCTTTTTTAATCAAAGAATAAATAATTGTACCTGGCGTAATGATACAGTGGGGTCAAAGTTGAAAAGGCTTCTTTACGCTTATAAACAAGATGTGATCAGCACTTGTTAGATATAGCATGCCATGCGCTAGCGACATGTGATGCAACCCTTAACAGGTGGAACATAAGATCAAATGTAATATGAATTGTACAATGAAGGCATGTCACACTTCAACAGTGTAAATTCAAGATTCTTGTTTCTCACGAACACCCGGTCGATAGCGTCGCTATACCGCGAAACTCGTTAACAAAATGATGTAGCTTACTACAGATCGTTAACAGGTAATAAACTAAAAGGATTTCAAGAGGACGCAAGATCGGAGTAGGGTGCTTGGTGCTATGGCTGGAAAGCATGGACATTTCTGAAAAAATGATTTCAAGTCGACAACCATTCGAATTCCTACTCTTTCTTGACACCACGTACACACGTGACAATAAACACCAATCACACACCACAACGTTAACATTGCTAGATACTGTTATTATTAATGTATTAAAGCTGTTGCTGCTGAATTGCAAGTAGTGGAGATGCCTAGCGTAGCTGAACTAGTTTACATGGAAAAGAGGAATCAAGTGAAATTATAATTTGAGCTAATGTGATACAACTTTCCATCTCCCTGGTGTAAATATATTTTACTTGTTGATAAAATGGCATGATACACGGCATCAGCTCGGTCAAGTTGGTTCTCTCTTCCTGCATGTCATGGCAAGCGTCCGCTCGTCACGCCGAACACTCGGGTTCGATTCTCCACATAGGTACAATGTGTGCAGGGCCGAATACAGCTTCTTGTTTTAAAAAAAAAGGGGACTCTTGAGAAGGGGCGGTGCAAAAGTCATTTTAACGAGAATTTCAAAGGTCATGCATCCAATAAACTTTCAACTTACCCTGCAACCCCACCCCACCCTGGATCCGCCTATAGTATGAAGCCCATTTCATGATGTTGCTTACAGCGGCGCAGAACCATACACACTCACTCATTCATCTCGTGGCAGAAGCTTGTTTCCTAAACGTTTATTAAGTGGCCATTGAAACTCTCGTGAAGACAGGTGAAATGTACTGTGCACCTCCGCTTTCTCAAAAAGCTGTATTCCCTCCTGCTCAGTTTTTCCCAATACGGCTAACGACGATCTGCATTTGCATGGCGATATTTCACATTTAGGTTCAGCTTGAAGTTTGTCATGTATTCAATTGGGGTGGGGTTTTTTCCGACTGTACCGAAAAATAAAGATCACTGACTAAAGGCATCTATTCCTTTGGATGAAACTAGCTTGTACCTCTATGTAACTGAACTATAGCTTGTACCTCTATGTAACTGAAACTAGCCTGTACCTCTATGTAACTGAAACTAGCTTGTACCTCTATGTAACTGAAACTAGCTTGAACATCTATATGTAACTGAAACTAGTTTGTACCTCTATATGTAACTGAAACTAGCTTGTATATCTATATGTAACTGAAACTAGTTTGTACCTCTACATGTAACTGAAACTAGCTTGTACCTCTACGTGTAACTGAAACTAGCTTGTGCCTCTATATGTAACTGAAACTAGCTTGTACCTCTACATGTAACTGAAACTAGCTTGTACCTCTATATGTAACTGAAACTATAGCTTGTACCTCTCTGTAACTGAAACTAGCTTGTACCTCTACATGTAACTGAAACTAGCTTGTACATCTATGTAACTGAAACTAGCGCTTGTACATCTATGTAACTGAAACTAGCTTGTACCTCTACATGTAACTGAAACTAGCTTGTACCTCTATATGTAACTGAAACTATAGATTGTACCTCTACATGTAACTGAAACTAGCTTGTACCTCTACATGTAACTGAAACTATAGCTTGTACTTCTATATGTAACTGAAACTATAGATTGTACCTCTACATGTAACTAAAACTAGCTTGTTCATCTATGTAACTGAAACTATAGATTGTACCTCTATGTAACTGAAACTATTGATTCCACCTCTATGTAACTGAAACTAGCTTGTACCTCTATGTAACTGAAACTAGCTTGTACCTCTATATGTAACTGAAACTAGCTTGTACCTCTATATGTAACTGAAACTAGCTTGTACCTCTACATGTAACTGAAACTAGCTTGTACCTCTATATGTAACTGAAACTAGCTTGTACATGTAACTGAAACTAGCTTGTACCTCTATGTAACTGAAACTATAGCTTGTACCTCTATGTAACTGAAACTAGCTTGTACCTCTATATGTAACTGAAACTATAGATTGTACCTCTACATGTAACTGAAACTAGCTTGTACCTCTACATGTAACTGAAACTATAGCTTGTACATCTATGTAACTGAAACTAGCTTGTACCTCTAGATGTAACTGAAACTATCTTGTACCTCTACATGTAACTGAAACTAGCTTGTACCTCTATGTAACTAAAACTAGCTTGTACCTCTACATACATTAACTGAAACTAGCTTGTACATATATGTAACTGAAACTATAGATTGTACCGCTATGTAACTGAAACTAGCTTGTACCTCTATATGTAACTGAAACTATCTTGTACCTCTATATGTAACTGAAACTATAGATTGTACCTCTACATGTAACTGAAACTAGCTTGTACCTCTACATGTAACTGAAACTATAGCTTGTACTTCTATATGTAACTGAAACTATAGATTGTACCTCTACATGTAACTAAAACTAGCTTGTTCATCTATGTAACTGAAACTATAGATTGTACCTCTATGTAACTGAAACTATTGATTCCACCTCTATGTAACTGAAACTAGCTTGTACCTCTATGTAACTGAAACTAGCTTGCACCTCTATGTAACTGAAACTAGCTTGTACCTCTATATGTAACTGAAACTAGCTTGCACCTCTATATGTAACTGAAACTAGCTTGTACCTCTACATGTAACTGAAACTAGCTTGTACCTCTATATGTAACTGAAACTAGCTTGTACCTCTACATGTAACTGAAACTAGCTTGTACATCTATGTAACTGAAACTAGCTTGTACCTCTATATGTAACTGAAACTATAGATTGTACCTCTACATGTAACTGAAACTACTATGTAACTGAAACTAGATTGCTTGTACCTCTATGTAACTGAAACTAGCTTGTAAACTAGCTTGTACCTCTATATGTAACTGAAACTAGCTATGTACCTCTATATGTAACTGAAACTAGATTGTACCTCTACATGTAACTGAAACTAGCTTGTACCTCTACATGTAACTGAAACTTGCTTGTACCTCTATATGTAACTGAAACTAGCTTGTGCCTCTATATGTTACTGAAACTAGCTTGTACCTCTACATGTAACTGAAACTAGCTTGTACCTCTATATGTAACTGAAACTAGCTTGTACCTCTATATGTAACTGAAACTAGCTTGTGCCTCTATATGTAACTGAAACTGCCTCTATATGTAACTGAAACTAGCTTGTACCTCTATATGTACATGTAACTGAAACTAGCTTGTACCTCTATATGTAACTGAAACTAGCTTGTACCTCTATATGTAACTGAAACTAGCTTGTACCTCTATGTAACTGAAACTATAGCTTGTACCTCTATGTAACTGAAACTAGCTTGTACCTCTACATGTAACTGAAACTAGCTTGTACCTCTACATGTAACTGAAACTAGCTTGTACCTATATGTAACTGAAACTATAGCTTGTACCTCTATGTAACTGAAACTAGCTTGTACCTCTATATGTAACTGAAACTATAGATTGTACCTCTACATGTAACTGAAACTAGCTTGTACCTCTACATGTAACTGAAACTATAGCTTGTACTTCTATATGTAACTGAAACTATAGATTGTACCTCTACATGTAACTAAAACTAGCTTGTTCATCTATGTAACTGAAACTATAGATTGTACCTCTATGTAACTGAAACTATTGATTCCACCTCTATGTAACTGAAACTAGCTTGTACCTCTATGTAACTGAAACTAGCTTGTACCTCTATGTAACTGAAACTAGCTTGCACCTCTATATGTAACTGAAACTAGCTTGTACCTCTACATGTAACTGAAACTAGCTTGTACCTCTATATGTAACTGAAACTAGCTTGTACCTCTACATGTAACTGAAACTAGCTTGTACCTCTATGTAACTGAAACTATAGCTTGTACCTCTATGTAACTGAAACTAGCTTGTACCTCTATATGTAACTGAAACTATAGATTGTACCTCTACATGTAACTGAAACTAGCTTGTACCTCTACATGTAACTGAAACTATAGCTTGTACATCTATGTAACTGAAACTAGCTTGTACCTCTAGATGTAACTGAAACTATCTTGTACCTCTACATGTAACTGAAACTAGCTTGTACCTCTATGTAACTAAAACTAGCTTGTACCTCTACATTTAACTGAAACTAGCTTGTACATATATGTAACTGAAACTATAGATTGTACCGCTATGTAACTGAAACTAGCTTGTACCTCTATATGTAACTGAAACTATCTTGTACCTCTATATGTAACTGAAACTATAGATTGTACCTCTACATGTAACTGAAACTAGCTTGTACCTCTACATGTAACTGAAACTATAGCTTGTACTTCTATATGTAACTGAAACTATAGATTGTACCTCTACATGTAACTAAAACTAGCTTGTTCATCTATGTAACTGAAACTATAGATTGTACCTCTATGTAACTGAAACTATTGATTCCACCTCTATGTAACTGAAACTAGCTTGTACCTCTATGTAACTGAAACTAGCTTGCACCTCTATATGTAACTGAAACTAGCTTGTACCTCTACATGTAACTGAAACTAGCTTGTACCTCTATATGTAACTGAAACTAGCTTGTACCTCTATATGTAAC